TCATGCCCCCAGCCACATGTATTAGAAACCCTAGGAGCCGGGCGTGGCGTGCGGGGGGGGGGGTGGCTGCACGCCTGATCAGCACTCTGGGTGAGGCTGAGAGGATGCGTGAGGATGCAGAGTTCAACCAGCGCTGGAAGCCAAGAGCCAGACGCCGTCTCTACTATAAATAGAAAGAATTATTGGCCAACTATATATAAGAAAATTAGCGTCATGTGGTGTCAGCCGGTAGTCCATGCTACTTCGGAGGCTGATTGGTCAGAATGTCCTCTCTCTTAGGCCTGGCCCCCGGCCACTCCTCACCCCGTGGCACCCCGTTTTCTCTGGAGCTGGCCTGAGGGCCTTCCCGCACCCACTCCTCCCTCCCTCCGTCACATGCAAACCTTCCGGGGGGGGGGTCCCTTTCCCACTGGGCACGGGTCAGGGCTACAGGTAGTACAGCCGACCCGGGGCTTCCCAGGAGGCAGCTGGGCAGGTGGGAGGGATCCAGAAGGCCCAACTCGCGCCCGTCCAGCCTGACCGCGCCATCCACGCGGCGCGGTGAGCGTGGCCCTTCGCGGTCCATCTGACCGCCTGTGTGCTGTGGCCCTTGTACCGCAGCTTCGACCCCCCTGGCCCCATGTCAGCCGGGATGTCCTGTGAAGTGCTCATCACCTTCAAGCCCATGGTGAGTCGGGGCTGCTCTCACCGCAGGGTGGGGCGGTGGGTGGAGGAAGGACGCACTTGGCCTCTCACCAGAGCCCCTGTTCTGCTGTCGTATTTGCAAGAAATAGTCTGCATAGTGCGGAAGTGCCGCCAGAATCACAGAGCAGTGTCTCTGGTTCACTAGCTGAGGGGTGTGGTCCAGGAGCTCACCTTTTCATGCTCTTGGGTCTCAATGGGGGCAGGGGGGGGTCCCGGAAGGTCCTGCCAGCGTGTGACAGGCCTGGGCCCAGGCTGCAGTTATACAAACGCAGCGTGTGTAACTGGGGACAGAAGTTAATGGCGGTTGGGTTGTTTTATTTTTTAGATAAACAAAGATCTGGAAGGAAATGTCTCATTTTTGGCTCAGACGGGCGGATTTTCCGTTCCACTGAAATGTTCAACAAAGAAATGTCGTGTAAGTTCACAAATGTTTGAGCCTGCGTGTCTCGGGCCCCTGGTTGAGAGCCCTGTGGGCCCTGGGGCGTGGGGCCTCCTGTCTACGCCACAGGGCTCTGACCCGCCCTCGGGGGGCGGCACGGATGCAGGGCGCCCCGAGAAGACGGGCACTCAGGCGGCGCTGGAGAGATCTGGGCAGATCCCGCTCTGTGGGGAGCGCAGTGGAGGACCTGCAGGTCAGAGGGGCCTGAGCAGGCCCTGTCCTTGCTGTAGCTCTTGGCATCCCCTCGGTTGTCGCCTTTAACTAAGAAACATTTTAAGCATGACGAAAGCAGAGAGAACAGTACGAGAACATCTTTATGCCCGAGACCTGGACTCAGGGATTGTCGGTGTCTGCACTGTTGCTCCGTCTGCCTGCCGACTGCTGCAGCGCACCTCCAAGTGGGTTCTCGGATTGAACGCTGAGCACCCACCCGTGGAGGGCTTCAGCTTCCACCAAATACAGGGCCACCACGTCACCGTCCCTCACACCAACATCGGCCCTCACCACCCGACGCCACATAATTAACCCTAACCCAGCAGCACTTAGTTTGTGGCAGCCGTGCTGGTCACGGGCGTGCAGGTCACAGATGTGCAGGTCTCAGCCGTGCCGGTCACGGGCGTGCAGGTCACAGATGTGCAGGTCTCAGCCGTGCCGGTCACGGGCGTGCAGGTCACAGATGTGCAGGTCTCAGCCGTGCTGGTCACGGGCGTGCAGGTCACAGATGTGCAGGTCTCAGCCATGCAGGTTGTGGGCGTGGAGGTCGTGGGCATGCAGGTTGAGGGTGTGCAGGTTGAGGGTGTGCAGTGGGCGTGGAGGTCGTGGGCATGCAGGTTGAGGGTGTGCAGGTTGAGGGTGTGCAGGTCGCAGGCGTGCAAGTCGTGGGCGTGCAGGTCGTGGGCATGCAGGTCGTGGGCGTGCAGGTCGTGGGCGTGCAGGTCGTGGGTGTGCAGGTCGAGGGTGTGCAGGTTGTGGGCGTGCAGGTTGAGGGTGTGCGGGTCTCGGGCATGCGGGTTGTGGGCGTGCGGGTGGTGAGCGTGCAGGTCGAGGGCGTACAGGTCATGGGCGTGCAGGTCGTGGGCGTGCAGGTCGTGGGCGTGCAGGTCGTGGGCGTGCAGGTCGAGGGCGTGCAGGTCGTGGGCGTGCAGGTCGTGGGCGTGCAGGTCGTGGGCGTGCAGGTCGAGGGTGTGCTGGTCATGGGCATGCAGGTCACAGGCATGCAGGTCATGGGTGTGCAGGTTGAGGGTGTGCAGGTTGAGAGCATGCAGGTTGAGGGTGTGCAGGTTGAGGATGTGTAGGTCGTGGGTGTGCAGGTTGAGAGCGTGCAGGTTGAGGGTGTGCAGGTTGAGGATGTGTAGGTCGTGGGCGTGCAGGTTGTGGGCGTGCAGGTTGAGGGTGTGCAGGTCGAGGGCGTGCTGGTCAAGAATATGCAGGTTGCGGGCGTCCAGGTCAACCACAGTCTGCCAGCTCCAGGCTGCGGGTGAGCTGGGCCGGGCTCCAGGCTGGACCTGGGGACACCCCCAGGGTGTTCTGGGTGTGCCTCCTGGCCTCTGGGGCTGCAGCTGCCCCAGCACGAGCTCCTCAGAGAGGATCACTGGAGCCCAAGAAATCGAGGCCAACAGCAGTGCATGTCTCGGCCTTGCTTGTTTCCCGTCTGACAACACTCTGGCCAAGCCCGGCCCGGGCGGTGCAGGGAGGCCCACTCTGGTGCTAGGAGGGCAGGGCCAAGCAGAGAACTGAGGACGGTGTTCTGTGTCCTGCACCAAGAAAACCAACAAACTCTTAACTATCTCCCAGTCCACCCAGGCAGATGTACCCACTGTCCCCTAACTACCTTTTATGACTTCTTTATTATGTTGTTTCCTTACTGCTTTTCCATGCAAGAAGGACTTGGTGTGAATGTCACCTCCAAGGGTGGCAGGTTTTGTCGTGGATTCGTGGGTTTTACCTGTGTGGTGTGCTCCAGTCCTCTGCGTCTCCCTCCATCTTGGGAGTTCAGGTGGCCTAGCCAGGCCCTGCTTGACTGGCCCATGCATGGCACTGCCTCAAGGACAGCCCCAGTGGGAGCTGTCCCTCCCCCAGTGGACATGCCTCTGCAAAGAGGCCCACCTCAGGGGCCACACTCCCCCGTGGAACAGCCTCCAGAAAGAGCACGGTGTGGTGGGCCAAGACTGGAGCCCAGGGCTCAGACGGGGGAGGAGGCGCCAGTGCATGGCCGGGCCTGGAGAGCTCCACGGAGTCTCGCGCTGGCAGACCCGTCCCCCGCCCCCGCCCCACTAGCCTGCAGCCCGTCACCCACATCAGCGTCCTCCAGCCAAAGGCCCAGTGCACAGCCCCAGGCGTCCTCTGCCAGGCACCCTGCCTCTCCTGCACCTGGCTGTCGCGCCGTCTGCGAAGCACCACGGCCCAGGCACCAGAGACCCGGCAGCTCACCGAAGCCTGAGCCACCTCCTCTCGGGGCGGCCAGACTGGGGTCACGGGGGGGGGGGCAGGACAGGCTGCACAGTGCTGTGCTCCAGAGCAGGGCAGACTGGGGTCACGGGGGAGGGGGGGCGCAGGACAGGCTGCACAGTGCTGTGCTCCAGAGCAGGGCAGACTGCCCAGCCGGCGCGAGGTGGCCTCCCTCCTAGACCCCAAGTTACTCTCCGAGAACCTGGTCCATTTGCCTCACTAGCCCCAGCGATGGCTGGGGACCAGGGGCTCGGAGGGCTGGGGCCCCTGGGTGGCCTGTGCCGTGGAGGACTTGCTCCTGTTCCAGAAGGAACCACAGTCCCCGCATCTGCAGCACAGCCAATTGTACCCAGAGGCTGTTGTCGGCTTGCCAGCCCCCCAGCCCCTGTGCCTCTCACCAACGCTCACGACTCCCCGACAGGGAGCTGCCGGCCTGACCCACTCAAAGCCAGGCTCGGGCGCCCCAGCCGTCCGGTTTCCGGGTGGGTCGTGTGCTGGGTGTGCGGGGCACGGTTGGCACAGCAGCCCTGCCCGTCCTGCCTGGAGCCAGATGCAGGCCTCCTCCTTTAGGGCAAGAAGGGGCCAGGGCACCCCGTGTCCCCTCAGGGCTGCCGGGTGACAGGCGGGACTGCCACGCCCTTCAGGACCTGTGCCCTCACGCTGGGCACCCGCCGCCCGGTGAGCACCCGGCTCACTCTGGTGTCCTTTGGCAGCTGTCCCTCGACAAGGAGCTCATCGACTTCGGCAGCCACGTGGTGGGCGAGACCGCGACCCGGGCCATCACGCTGACCAACGTCGGGGGCTTGGGCACGGAGTTCAGGTTCCTTCAGGCCTTGGACCCCGGCGACACGGACGACTCCCGGTCCCTGCTGAGAGCAGTGAGTGCGCTGCTCGGCCGCCTCCCGCAGACCAGCCGTGTGTGGACGGGGGTGGTACAGGGGCACGACCTTGGCGGGGCTAGGGGACGGAGGGCAGAGCGTGGGGCCATCCTCACATCAGCCAAGGCAGGAGACCGGCTCACAAGGACGTCTGCAGTCACCTGGCCTCAGGTGCAGTGGCAGCAGGACACTGTCCCTCTCTCAGGCATGTGGTGACAGGGGCAGCAGCTGGGAGCACCAGGCCTGAGAGTCCTGGGGACCCGCACTTCTCCTGATGTCCTGGGCACGGGGTAGACCAGCCCGACCCAGAAGGCCGGGCCGGTTGACCCTACGGCCACACCTGCACCTGTCCCAAGTGTGAGGTGGCCTTTGTCCCTTCCCAGACATGCCAGCCAGTGTGAAAGCAGCCTCAGGTTATCCTGGGGGTGTCCCATGCGTGGAGCAATTCCCACCACACCCAGTACATCACGGTGGATCATTTGGGGGCTGAGGGCGGGAGGCAGAAACTTTGTCTTTTTAAACACTCTTCTAAATTATTAGGAAATTCCCCACAAGGAGCATCATGCTCCTACTCTGCAGTCCTGTTGTCCACGTTAAGGGGTCTCAGCAAAGGCCCCTGGAAGGGTCTCCCCCCTGGGGAGGACAGAGCCACACGGGCGGCCGGCCCCTGGCACGGCGTGAGTGGCAGAGGCTTCTGCGGCTGGGTGAGGGGGCCGGTGGTCTGGCCGGGGAGAGGACAAGTGAGGGGTGAGCTGCCTGTGGACCCCAGAGAGCACAGTGTCTCCTCCTGGCGGTACCCACCTGGCACCCTGCCTGTCCATCCCCCACTGTGGCCCGAGGGCGCTCGGTGACTCTCATGAGCGCCCAGAGAGAGGCCTGGGCGGGTGGCCTGGCGGTGAGGAGAGGATGGGCGCAGGGTTCTCAGGCTGACGGGTTTAGGCTGAGCCCAGGAGAGAGCAGGGCAGGAGTGGGTGGCCGACCCCACATGAAGGAGGACCAAGTGCCAGGGATGTCCCCGAGCTCAGGCGGAGAGGATGGCTCTGCCTCCCACCAGCTGAAGAGGGAGGAGGGCCAGTCGGTCCCAGTCAGGACCAGGCTAGGACTCGGTCACGTGTCAGGCCCAGCACACAAGCAGCTCCCAGATGGGGCGTTTGTGCCTGCCAGAGACTGAGGAGGAGCCCCCAGGTGGGGGGAGGAGGCCAGGGTTGGCCCCGAGCCCCTGGAGCAGCCTGAGGGACAGTAGAGGGGGACAGCCATGGACAGCTGGGGGACAGCCATGGACAGCTTGGGGGCAGCTGGGGGGACAGTCATGGACAGCCATGGACAGCTGGGGGACAGTTATAGATAGCCATGGACAGCTGGGGGGACAGCCATAGGCAACCGGGGGACAGTCATAGACAGCAGCCATGGACAGCTAGGGGACAGCTGGGGGACAGCCATGGACAGCTAGGGGACAGTTATAGACAGCCATGGACAGCTGGGGGGACAGACATGGACCGCCATGGACAGCTGGGGGGACAGCCATGGGCAACCGGGGGACAGTCATAGACAGCAGCCATGGACAGCTAGGGGACAGCTGGGTGACAGCCATGGACAGCTGGGGGACAGCCATGGACAGCTGGGGGACAGCCATGGACAGCTGGGGGATAACCTTGAAGGAGCCTACGTAAGAGCCAGGTCCCCAGCCCCAGACCTGGGCCCTCTTCACGTGGGCCCCCCCAGCAAGAAGGGAGTCTGGGAGGTGAGTGGGAAAGTAAATGGGAAATCGCCACGACGTTGTGTTCTCTTCTTCAGAGCAGCCTGTACACGTACGAAGAAAAAAGTTTTTACGAAAAAGGCATCACTAGTTTTTCTGAGCAACAGTTTGACGCCTACGAGTCTTCCCCTGTGGATATGCAGAGTAGGAAGGAGTCGGAGGAGGACACGCGGGCTGCAGGTGAGCTGGGCTGGAGCGGCTGGGCTTGGCCCCAGGTGCGGGCTGGGGGGTAAGGGCCCAGGGACAGCATTCCAGGAGCCTCCTGGGCAGCCAGGCCTGAGGGGCCCCGGGCTCAGACCACCCTGGAGAGGGCTGGAAGGTCCAGAATTTCCCCAGGGCTTCAATTTTAAGCGATAGTATGTAAGCAAATACTCACGTACTCAAATAAATACTGGTTATGGACTGGATTGAAATCTACACTCATGCTGATGCTCAGGGAAGACTTGAAGGAAGCCTCCAGCTTTGGGCCACCCAGCCGGCCCCACCAGTGGGACTGCGGCACACTGAGGGTGGGTGTGCGGTGCCGTGTGTGGCCGTGAGGACAGTTAGAGGAAGGACGAGTGCGCAGCCCGCCCGGTGCTGAGCTGCAGGAGGAAGAGCTCCCTCCCCGGCACCCTGCTCTGCACCTGGGCCTGCCGTCTTGAATTGTCTTCATCGCTTCCTTGCTTCTTTGCATGGTTTTCCATGTACGTACAAATACCCAGAGACGGCTGCCGCCTCCTGTCGTCGGGCTTTGCACGCGCAGAGCCGCGGTGCAGGTCGTGCCCAAGCTCACCCACACAGACGTGCGGCCCGGCATCAGGCAAGGTCTCTTACACACGGCATTGAAAGCACGGCCCATTTGTTTTAAGTTATAAACTGGACTTCATCAGCACTGAGAATCTCTGCTCTTCCAAAAACCATAAGGAGGAAAAAAAGACAAGCCGCAGACTGGCAGAAAAACATTAGCAAATCACACGTCCGGTGAAGAACTTGGATCCAAAATACGTAAAGAATTTTCAAAACTCAATTAGAAAACAAATAACCAGTCAAAAACAAAAATGGGAGAACGACGCAAACAGACTTGAAGGTATGTGGTTCCGGACGCTGCCTGAATCCTGAGAGGTGGCGTGGCCCCCAGGAGGGCAGGTCAGCGGCTTCCTGCAAGTGAATACAAGACATGAGCGGCCCTGTCCTCTCCTAGTACTACCAAGAAAAACGAAAACTTCAGTGCAGAAGCGCTGCAGGTGCATGTTGTAGGCGCGTTCTTTCTGTTTTGTTGTGTGGAGAAGGAGCGTCAGCTCTAGCGGGTCCAGGCCAGGAGTGCCCGTGCGCGTCAGCTAGCCCAGCAACCTCCAAACTCCTGGCTCAGCAATCCTCTGCCTCACCTCCGATAAGCTGGACTACAGCATGCGCCACCTTGGCCTGCTACTTTTTTCTATATACTATATGCAGGGTACGTGTGCCAATCAATTCTGCAGGTTCAGAGAGACTCCGTCTCGGCGTCGTTGGCGCCAGGTCTGCGTTGTGCGAAGCGACGGGGAGCAAGTGCGCGCGCCGCCTTGCCAGAGGTGCTAGGTACCCGTGACCTCCGCGCCCAGCCGAGGGTCTGTTCCTAATTGCTCAAAACAAAGCATTCTGTTGCATCTTCATCTCGACACAAAACCCCTCTTTTCACTGGCGTAAGACGTTTTACGTGTGCACGGGGCACGTGCACGGAGCGCGGACTGACCTAGTCAGGGTCTGTGCGGGGCCACGTCGAGGGTCGGGAGCATTCCCAGTCCTCTCCTCCAGCCAGGCGTGGGCTGCGAGAGTGACCGTGTCCCAGGCGGGTCTGGACAGAGCTGCCCCTTCCTGCCCGGCAGGTCCTCACACCTGGACACCCCTTCTCTTCCAGAAACAGAGAGATTAACCACCATGATGGCGTCCGTGGATGAGCAGATGGAGATCACACTGGGCGGGGTCAGCAGCCTGTCCTGCTCAGACCCCGGCTGCCCTGGCGGGAGGCAGCCCATGTTCCGGCAGCCCCAGCTGTGCCCTCCCGACCCACGCGGCCCTTCCCCTCGACCAGAGCCAGGCTGGCCCCCAGGCACCTTGCAATCCCAGCAGCATCAGCCACCCCCTCCCCAGGCTGGGGCTGGACAGAACCAGAGCAGCGGGGCCAGTTTCCTAGGCGTGAGGCTCTCGGTCCAGCCTGGAGAGGACACTGGCCGTGGGCCCTCCAGGCCGGGGCACAGCCCACACTGCAGGGAGGATGCAGGGAACAGTCCAGGCCGCCTTCACCTCCCCTCAGCTGGGCTCACAGGGAGGTTAAGTCCTCAGGTGGCCACCCCAGGGACACAGGTCCTGCCACCACTCACCCTTGCAGTGACGGGCTGTCGTGAGGGTGAGTGGAAGGAGCCCTCTGCCATCCTTCTTCCTGTGCAGGTAACAGAGGGGCATCTGGGCCCCTTCAGCTCCGTCAAAGTGCCCATCATCTTCACCCCGTCCATCCCAGGAGAGGTCCAAACCAGGTTCAAGATCACGTTTAAGACTCCACAGTGCCCGACAGTGAGTATCCCTGTCGCTGCTTGACGCGCACGGCCCCTGGGCACTGGCTGCTCCTCTCCACAGCCACGTGGGGTGGCCACCCTCAAGGCTGCCTTGCCCATGCTCGAGTGGCCCGTTGACGGCACAAATGGTTGGTTGGCACCCCAGTCACAAGCATACGCATGCACATGCATGCACATGCAAGCACATGTATGCACACGTGTACATACAAGCACACATGTGCACGTACAAACACGTGTGCATGCACATGCAAGCACATGTGTACATGCACATGCAGATGTGAGCATATACATACACATGCATATACACATGCATATACACATGCATGTGTACACGTATGCACACATAGCTACAGAGGTCTGGCTCTTACTATAAATGCCTTTCTTCAAGTAGTTAAAATTTTTATTTATTATTTTTTAATCATTTATTTTCTTATAAGTTTATCAAAGTAAATTATGATTAGAGAAGATTACCTGTAAACTCTGTTTTGTCAAAATTTGTTAAAAGTCTCTTTGTGACCAAAGGCATGACTGATTTTGTAAGTGTGGTAACCACATGTGAGAGAAGTGCATTTGTTCAAGGGCTGGAAATGAACTTATTAACTGGATTATTCAGCTTCCCTGTTCCTTCCCTCACGGTTACATTTTTGCCAAGTTCTCCTTAGTTTCCAACAAGTGGCCTTTGTATACTCGGTTGGTACAAAAGTAATTGCGTTTCAGATTGTGAATTATAAATCACAACTAGGCTCAAACACATCTTTATTAATCAAAATAGGAACCATTATAAGCAACACATTTTGCCAATGAGAAATAAGTTTATTCCTACAGCATAAAAACCCGTGCTTCAGGATTCGACACTCCTGGGAAGCATTTTCTGCATCCTGCTGGGGGTGGAAGCGTTCTCCCCGTACAAAGTTGCCGAGATGCTTGAAGAAGTAAGTGGTGGTTGGTTGGTGAGAGCTCAGGTGAATATGGCGGATGAGGCAAAACTTCATAGCCCAATTCGTTCAACTTTTGGAGCGTTGGTTGTGCGGCATGCGGTCGGGCGTTGTCGTGGAGAATTGGGCCCTTTCTGTGACCAATGCCGGCTTCAGGTGTTGCAGTTTTCAGTGCATCTCATCGACTTGCTGAGCACACTTCTCAGATGTAGCAAGGTTTCACCAGATTCAGAGACCTGTGGTGGTTCAGACCAGCAGCAGACCACCAAACAGTGACCATGACCTTTTTTTGGTGCAAGTTTGGCTTTGGGAGGTGCCTTGGAGCTTCTTCTCGGTCCAGCCACTGAGCTGGTCGTTGCAGGTTGTTGTATAAAGTCCACTTATCGTCACACATCACAATCCGATCGAGCAATGGTTCATTGTTGTTGCATCCAAGAAGAGAAGATATCAAAATGACTATTTTTTTGATTTTCGATCAGCTCATGAGGCACCCACTTATCGAGCTTTTTCGCCTTTCCAATTTGCTTCAAATGCCCAAACCATCTGATCCTAGAATGGTCGACGTTGAGTTCTTCAGCAGCTTCTCGTGCAGTTGTAAGAGGATCAGCTTTGATGGTGGCTCTCAGTTGGTCGTTGTCAACTTCCGATGGCCGGCCACTGTGCCCCTCATCTTCAAGTCTTTCGTCTCCGTTGCAAGACTTCTAGAGCCACCACTTCACTGCACGTTCGTTAGCAGTTCCTGGGCCAGACAGGTTGTTGATACAACGAGTTGTCGCCACTGTTTTACGACCCATTTTGAACTCAAATAAGAAAATCGGGCCGGGCACGGTGGCTCATGCCTGTAATCCTAGCACTCTGGGAGGCCGAGGCGGGCGGATTGCTCAAGGTCAGGAGTTCGAAACCACCCTGAGCAAAAGCGAGACCCCGTCTCTACTATAAATAGAAAATCGCTCAAATTTGCTTTTTGTCTAATGTCATTTGCAAAGTCTAAAATAAATATAAAATAAACAGCAAGTAAAATAAACATATGCAGCAAGTAATAAGTTATTAGCAAAATTACATAAAGTGAGAAATGGGCATTGAAATGGCGTATAGCATATAACCACATTTAAGAGTGCATTCCAACATTACGTGGCAAATTTCAACAATGCTAAAACCACAGTTACTTTTGCACCAACCTGAGCTCTTGAGACCAAGAGCTCTGGGAGAGGCTGGCCCCGAGCAGGGCGCTGCAGGCCACACATCCTCCGGGGTGGGGTACGCACTGCCAGCCCCCCAGGGTGACAGGGTCCTGCCTGCTCATCGTCCCTCCCTGAGCCAGTGAGGGCTGTCCTGCAGGCAGCCCCGCCCTCCGGTGGCTCCAGGGTGCCACCCGCCCTCTGTCTCCTGTGAGGACAGCTCGGGGTGTGGACCTGGCGGGGCAGGCACGCACTGGGGCTCACCCTGCTGGTGGCCCCCGTCTGCTCCATGGACCCTCCGAGCGCCCCCCCCACACTTTGCCACCCGGCCTGGCCTCCAGCTCTCGGCTCTATCTTCCTGCCTCACGTCCCCTCACGGCCACACACAGAGGCACACCTGTGCCCCTCCACCCCCGGTGGCTGAGCTCCAGTGCTGGGGACCGTGGGCAGCTGCTCCCTGTGTGGAAGTGACACTGGCTCCCCACGGCCCCGTCCATGGACTGTGTTTTCCAGCAACCCCGCGGCGTAGGATCTGGCAGTTCTGAGTGTCGCACCCCTGCCCCCGTCCCTACACACCCCCTACGCGCCCTGTGGGCTGCTGACCTAACGGGGTCACCTGCGCCAGGTGGAGGGTCCCGCCCTCCTGCAGGCGTTGAGAGCTCTCAGCTCCCCCACAGTGCCGAGCTTCCTCCAGCCCTGGGGCTCCCAGACCCTCCGGGACCACGCCCAGCCTGGGGGCTTTGCTGTGGACAAGTTCTCCCTGCAGGACACCCCCAAACCCCCAAGCCGTCATGCACCTCTCCAACCTCCCCAGAGCCGCAGGGTCTCACGGTGGGGGAGGAGAGCAGGCACCCCCTCCATTCCTGGTTCCTTCAACACCTGGGCCCTCTGCAGCCTCCAGTCTGTTGTCACGGAGGTTCTGCACGGCCTGTACGATGGGTCATTCTGTAATAAAAAAGGCTTTTGAACAAGTAAAAGTGTAATAATTGTGAATCTGGGTGATGAGTACCTGGCAATTTAAAATTCCATTCTTTTTTTTATGTTTGAAAATCTTGATAGTAAAAAGAATTTTTAAGGTGACAGGATATGAAAAGTGCCCCAGAACTGGAAGGCGTGGCTTGTCAAGTCACTGACCTCCCAGTGCGTGTAAGTTCCGGCGGGTCCCCCGCGGCGCTGCCCTGCTGAGCTGCCAGGGCCCGTGCCCGCCACCTGCTCACCGCAGGCGCGGCGTGTCTCTGAGCTCGCGCCTCGAATTCAGTTGTATTTCAGAGCCACGGGCGTGGCCATCGACGTGTCGGTCTGGCTGGCAAAGCCCAACGTGGACCTGAAGATCTGCATGTACGACCGCCTCTACCAGGCCTCCGTGCTCGTGCACACGCGGTGAGCGCCCTGGCGGCCGGCCACGGCCCGGGTGAAGCACCCGGAGGTGGGAGGGGCCCGGGGTCATCCCGGAGGTTCCCGGGGTCGCCGCAGAGGTCGTCTCAGGAGGCGGGAGGGCCAGAGCCAGCGGTGGAAGTGAAGACGCCATGCTGCCAGCGTGGAAGATGGGGGAGGGGCCACAGGCCACGGAGCGCCGCGGCCTCTGGACGCCAGGGGAGGCGCGGAGAGGACCCTCCCCTGGGGCTCCGGGGGCACCGGCGCTGCCCACACCTTGACCTCAGCGGGAAGTCCCACTGTGGACTTCTGGCCTGGGAACTCTGGGAGAGTACGTTTCTGTGGATTTAGGCCCCGAAATCTGCGGTAAGTTGTCCGAGCGGCCACAGGAACTCACGCCCGCCCGGTCACCGGGCCGGCGTCCTCAGCCCCACCCCCGTGCGCACGGCGGCGGCCTGAGCGCAGACGGATCCTGCGGAGAGAAGCCTGCTGCTGTCTGCAGTGTTTGCCAAGGGAACCGGTCACCGGCCGTGCGGCGGGGCTCAGCCCCTGTGGCTGCTCACGCAACTTGCCACGGACGTCGGGGCCCAAACACCAGCAGCTTCTCTCTCGGCGTTCACGTCCGCAAGGGCGTCCGCGGGCCCCTGCCGCCTCCACCGCATGGTCTGGATGGAGCTGCCTTCTTGAGGAGCTGCACGCTTGTCAGAAAGGGCTTGGGGCCGGGCACGGTGGCTCAGGCACGCCCCCAATGCCAGCGCTCTGGGGGGCCGAGTTGGGGGGGGGAGGATCACTTAAGCCCAGGAGTTCGAGACCAGCCAGAGCAAGAGCGAGACCCCGTCTCTACTAAAAATAGAAAATCTAGCCGGGCATGGTGGCGCACGCCTGTAGTCCCAGCCACTCAGGAGGCTGAGGCAGGAGGATCGCTTGAGCCCAGGAGTTAGAGGTTGCAGTGAGCTGTGATGACAACCACTGCACAAAAAGAAAGAAAAGAGAAAGGGTGCTTTTTCTCCTTGCCCGGGCGCCGTCTGGGCGGGGCTGCCGTGCCCTCGCTTTCCGGCCAGGGGTGTGCTTCCTGTCGTGGGGCGGGCGGCAGCTCTGCTTTCTCAGCCCCACTCTGAGGACACGGTCTGTTTTAAGCGCTGTGGACTTGCTGTGCTGGCCAGGTGGGGAGCAGCGGCGACGCGCAGGTGTGACCAATTGCACGGCAGCCTCCGGCTCCAGCTCAAGTGCTCCCCCCACCCCAGCCTCCCACGTGTGGGCCACAGGTGCCACCACCACGCCCAGCTCCCAGGGCACACATCTGATAACACAGATCTGCTCAGTGATTTCTATTTATTCATTCATTCATTCATTCATTCGACAGAGTCTCACTCTGTTGCCCGGGCTAGAGTGCCATGGCATCACCCTAGCTCAAGCAACCTCAAACTCCTGAGGCAATCCTCCTGCCTCAGCCTCCCAAGTAGCTGGGACTACAGGCATGCGCCACCATGCCTGGCTAATTTTTTCTATATATATTTTTAGTTGACCAATTAATTTATTTCTATTTTTAGTAGAGACAGGGTCTCGCTCTCGCTCAGGCTGGTCTCGAACTCCTGAGCTCAAGCAATCCTGCCTCGGCCTCCTGGAGTGCGAGGATTGCAGGCAAGAGCCGGGGAGGACAGACTAGGGCCACCGCAGCCCTGGGGGCTCCCGAGTAGAGAATAAGAGAGAAGAGAGACTTTACTTTCGTGCCACTCCTGGTCCTCCTGGGGCCACGGCCGCCCCTGCAGCCCCTGCGAGTCACCCAGGTCCATCGGCATGGCCTCGTCACCTCTGCTCCTCAGTCCCTGTGCCATGGCTGTGCAGAGGGAGGGGACACTGCACAGCAGCCCCCACCAGCCACAGGACAGACAGGGACCATTCAGAGCCATCTGAAGAGGTGCCAGAAGGCCCTGGAAGGTTCTGGAACCATGGCCCACGATTCTCAGGTGGCCAGGAAAGAGCTCCCTGGGTCACCTTTTCAAGCTGCCTTTTCTCCTGCCCTGAGAGGTCGGCCTTGCAGAGCCATGAAAGATGCAGGCGGGCAGGGAGGGGGGCTCCGGGGGGCCCGGCGACTGTCGGCCTCCGGGAGCTGCAGGTGCAGCGGCTCGAAGCAGGGCCTCTCGGGCCTGGGCCAGGGGCACGTGTGGCTTCCTCCAGCTGGTCCTGAGCTGGACGCCGTGGTCACTGACCAAGGCCTGGCCGACCCCGGGCCTCCGAGCATCCAGTGCTTGTGCCGCAGGGTGTGTGGACGCCCAGCCCCGGGCCGGCCTGGACGGGAGGAGGGAGGGGGCCCTGCACCCTGCAGCTGCCTGGCGGGAGCTCTTCCCAGAACACATGCAGGCTTTTGAGAGCTGATTAGGGCTATGCTTTAATTGCAATGCAGTTATTTTTAAAAATTTCTCATCAGATTCCATTTCAGAAAAACCAGCCCTTACAAAGCAGGGCTTGGAAGAGTCTCTAACAGCCGGGGTGCAGGCGTGGCCTGCAGCGCTGCCGGTGGCTTGGCTGTCAGCAACACTTTAATGACAGGAGGTCGAAGCCCAAACACAGTCAGCCTGACCGGTGCCCCGACGGCCCCGCAGGTCGAACGCGGCCCTGCGCCTCAAGTTTGAGGTCTGCAAGGAGCTGAGGGGACACATGGAGCTCCTGCCCGAGACAGGCTACATCCAGGCCCACTCCTCCTACTCTGTGCAGCTCAAGTTCCTGCCCCGGTGAGCGCTCGGGGCCTGGGCCGGGCGGGAGGTGAGGGGGTGGCCGGGGCAGGGCCCTGCACAGTCCACTGGAAGGATGGGGCGCCCCTGGCCTCCTGCTGTCTCCGGGGTGTAAACTTTTGTGGCGGCGAAAGAAACAGAGAGAGAGTGGGGCCAAACAACGTGGCTTTATTGAGCGCTCCCTGGAGAGGTTCGGGGGTCCCAAGAGAGGGGGCCTGAGAAGTCGCATCCATTTGGAGGGGGTACACGGGACTTTTGGCTGGAAGAGCTAGGGATTTTCTACTGTGACCTTCAGTGATTATTGAGAAATAGGAGGGGCTGGCGGTATTTGCAGAATCCAGGAACTGAAAACTTTCTTATCTGGGTGGACATCCAGGTGTTGTTGTTCTCAGCGGGGCCCAGCAGCTGTCCTTGGCGGGTCTGTTCTCGTGAGCCTTTTCTTTTTGATCTAGGGAGGGGAGGGGGACCTCCTCACCCTCTCTCTGTAACCCCCAGGGGCCTGTGTTGGCTCCACTTGGGCCTGAAGCTTGTTTCTTTGCCGCTGTCTCCCCTGCGGGCGTGCCCATCACACGCCCGTCACCGCTGTCTCCTCCCCTCCCCATTCCGAGGCTCTTTTCCAGCTTCCTTGGCGTGCCCCGTGGCTTCTGTCTTCTGCCAGGTGGACTTCGGTCGACCTCCCTGAGCTCTCGTAGTGCTCTGGGAGCTGGAAGTCCTGTTTTTAATTCTGATGCTGGTTTCCCTGGAGCTGCCCGTGGCTCCTGCCTCAGGGTCACCACCCGGTGCCGGGACCAGGACCGGGACAAAGCGTGTCAGGGACCTGGCCCAGGGCGTGGCTGGGCTGGCCGGCCGGGCGGGGTGAGGGCGGAGCGTGTGCACTGGGTCGACGTTGCGAGCCCCAGGGTGCAGCGGGGCCTGGACGGCTGCCCGTCGTGGTGCAGCAGATTTCCCTGTTTGCGCCTCTCATGGTTCCATGGCAACGTTAGTTTCCTCTTGTCACTGGAGCTCAAACTATTTTTTAAAGCGATTATGCATTTTCAAAGGGCCCCTTTTAGGATTCCTTTAAGTGCAATAACAAGCCCCTTTTCAGTGTGAAACTGTTGGATTCACACCCGTTTACTTGCGAGCAATCGTTCCACGAGGAGTCCGAGTCGTGCAGTCACACGCTCCCACGTGCCATGCTGGGCCTTGCTGCTCACAGAGGCTCAGGCGCGTGGAGAGGCCCCCAGGCCCGCAGTGCGTGTGCACACGCCCCACACCGACCCACGAGGACACAGGTGTGGCGCAGTGCACACCTCAGGGCTCTTCTGTCCCGTATACTTCGTGGCTCTCGTGTGACTTAAAACACCACGTACAGGTGGGTCTTACTGTCGTTTCACAAAATCCAGAGAAGACAAGCCCATTCAGGTGTCTCCCGCCTCTCGCAGGCACTCCCTCCCGGAAGACGCGAGGAAGTACTTTGACCAGGAGAGCCGGGTTCTGGAGGCCCCGATGACAATCTGGGTGGCGGACCAGGTCTGTGCTGGGCACTGCTAGCAGCAGGGGGCTGCTCTGGGAGGCCGGGCTCCGTGCCCGGTGAGGGCCCCCCGAAAAGACAGGGCTGGTTCCAGATCCACCCACAGGGGCCTCCCAGTGGGTGTCCAGCGGCCCAAGGGGCAGATCTGACTGCTGCCCTCTCAGCCCTGCACGGCTCAGAGCAGGGATGGCGTCGGTGGGCCAGAGAGGCCTCCGAGGCCTGTGCGGGGCCAGGCGGGGCCGTCTCCCAGGCACCCAAACCTGCCCCTGCACCTGCACTCCGGGCCGCACACACGCACACGCCCACACATGCACATGTGTGCACACATGCCACAGCCCGACTGGGACTCAGCGGCTGCCACTGCCCGTCTGGGCTCCTCCCCTGGGCGTCCTGCATGGCCCCCTTCCACGGCCTGGAGAGGCAGCGTCGTCGTGGGGAGAAGAGCCCACGGTGTCCTGAGAGCGGCCGTCACTGGCCACAAGGCAGCAGTGATGTCAGTCTCCGGTGGCTGGGAGTGCCCCCCTGCCTTTGTGCTTCAGACCAAACCCGTGGGGTTCACCGTCCACGCCGTGGTCACCACCTCGGACCTGGAGCTCAGCCCCCCGGAGCTGGACTTCGGCTGCTGCACCATCCACGAGGCCGTGAGGACAGAGGTCAGCCTCCACAACCACTCCCTCCTGCCCCAGGACTTCGGCTTCGTCCGGCTTCCCAAGGTACCTCTCGTGGTATGGCCCTGGGACGTGGGGGGCACGGTTGGGCAGCCGCGGCAACAGGGTCCAGTCACCGGGCCCCAGCCAGCCCTGCCCAGCCTGCATGCCACCCTCAGGCGCCTCTGCTGTCCCCGTCAGCATGGGCCCTCCCTGCCCACCCACCTGCCCCTCCCCGGCCCAGTGCACCCACAGGGCCCCAGACTCCTCTCCCCTACCTTCCTTCCAGAACTTTCCCTGCCTGGGCCTTGCAAGGCAGCCAGGACAGGGCCAGGCTTGGTCACCCCCACCCCTCGCTGGGCTGCCCCACCGCCAACCCCAACATCCACACGCAGGCCGCGAAGCTCGCCCTCACACCCACACACTTGCTCCTGCTCCCACACGGGCTCACACCACACACTTGCTCCTGCTCCCACACGGGCTCACACCACACACTTGCTCCTGCTCCCACACGGGCTCACACCCACACACTTGCTCCTGCTCCCACACGGGCTCACACCACACACTTGCTCCTGGTCCCACACGGGCTCACACCACACACTTGCTCCTGCTCCCACACGGGCTCACACCCAGGCACACCTCATGCTCATCCACACACGGTCACGCTCGGTCGCGTGCGCACGCTCACGCCCTGCTGCACGCACGCACACCGGCACCCTTCTCCCGTTGATCCTCCCTGCTGGCACTGCTTTGCCTCTGGTGTCAGCATTTTCCGATTCCCAGTTTGTGGACATCCAGCCCGGCGACGGGTTTGGCACGATCCTGCCACTCGAAACTCTGCAACTTGACGTGATCTTCCAGCCCACCAAGGCCAAGGAGTACAGCTTCGAGCTGGTCTGCAAATCCGAGATCAACCGGTGAGCCCCGGGGCAGGGGCGGTGGCGGGCCTGGCACAGCCGCTCGGGACAGGCAGCCCTTCCCGCCACCTCCGCGCCGCCAGCCACCCTGCACCCCACCTGCCCAGCTGACCCGGTGCAGACAGGCCGGGATCCAGGCAACCTTGCACTCTGGGCCGGCTCACCCTGTGAGTGGGTGTGGAGTGTTTGTGCACATGTGTGTGAGCATGTGCAAGTGTGCATGTGAGAGCATGTTAGCATACATGTGCATGGGTTGTGCATATATGTGAGTGCGAGTGTGCACGTGTGCGCATCGTGGGGGCATGTGTCCTAGTGCATGTATGTGTACATGTGTATGAACGTGAGGTCATGGGTGTGAGGGAGCATGTGTGTGAGTATACATGTGTATGAGCATGTGTGAATGTGTGTATGTGTGTGCGTGTATGAGCCCCCCCCCCCGCCCTCGGCCCACCGGCCCCGAGCTCCTGCTGCAGCGATCCCTGGGGACGTCGGCCACCCGCCTGCGGGGACAGAAGGACGAAGCCAGGCGTTTGCCGACCAGAGTGAGGTCGGGCGCATCTTGACCAGCAGGACAGGGCTTGCCTCGGAGGTTCACTGAGACCGTCTCCCACCGTCGGATGAGCAGATCCTTACCTCGATGGGGTTTGGGGGGAAAGAGACATAAGACACATGCTGAGATAAAGGCATTTTTTGGCAAATGTGGCGACGGCAGCGTGTGTGGAGAGGGACTGCGCTGTGGTCCAGCCCCTGGTCCGAGCTCCCAAGGGTCCTGGGGCGGGACCCGCTGCCTCCAAGCTGCGGGGACGGCAGCACCTGGCAAGTCCCAGAAGGGCCTGGGAGCGACCCCTCTCGGGGAACACGCTTTTGGCAGCCAGCGGCTTTCCTTCCTTGCCCGCCGGTGAAACACAGGCAGAGGTCGGCCATCACAATCCAGGGGGAAGATACGTTACCTCAGGGATTCGGGCACAGGAAGGAAAGGAAATCCGGCCGGGCGCGGTGGCTTACGCGGTGGCTCACGCCTGTGATCCCAGCACTCTGGGAGGCTGAGCAGGAGGATCACTTGAGCCCAGGAGTGTGAGGTTGCAGTGAGCTGTGATGACGCCACTGCTTTCCAGCCCAGGGTGACGGAGAGAGACTCCGTCTCAAAAAAACAAAAAAACCAACTCCAGTAAAATTCTACTTTTCGTATGTAATGATTATCACATTTCATACTTTTTTTTTTTTGAGACAGAGTCTCACTCTGTTGCCTGGGCTAGAGTGCCGTGGCGTCAGCCTAGCTCACAGCAACCTCAAACTCCTGGCTCAGCGATCCTCCTGCTCAGCCTCCCGAGTAAGCTTGACTACAGGCATGCGCCACCATGTCCGGCTAATTTTTTTCTATATATTTTTAGTTGGCCAATTATTTTCTTTCTATTTTTATTTTTATTTTATTTCTTTTTTTTGAGACAGAGTCTCACTGTGTTGCCCAGGCTAGAGTGAGTGCCATGGCGTCAGCCTAGCTCACAGCAACCTCAAACTCCTGGGCTCAAGCGATCCTCCTGCCTCACCTCCCGAGTAGCTGGGACTACAGGCATGCGCCGACCCATTGCGCCGGCTAATTTTTTCTATATATATTAGTTGGCCAATTAATTTCTTTCTATTTTTAGTAGAGACGGGGGTCTCGCTCTTGCTCAGGCTGGTTTCGAACTCCCGACTTCGAGTGATCCTCCCGCCTTGGCCTCCCGGAGTGTGGGGATTACAGGCGTGAGCCACCGCTCCCGACTTCTTTAATTTTTTAAAAAATAAATAAGTATTTAACAAAATAAGCCAGAAATTACGTCCTTTGCAACTGTCTAGGCGAGCAACTCAAAGCTTAGCGACCCAAGGCACGCGGTGCGCCGCTCTGTGGCCGCGGCAGGAGCACACACACACACACACACACCCCCGGAGCTAGGAGCTGCAGGCTGCGGTGAGCCATCACCCTGCGGTTGCACTGCCACACTCCAGCTGGGGTGACGCAGTGAAGTCCCTCTCTGAAAAGAGAAAAAAAATGTTAGCTACCCACCTAAAATAGGCACAGGAGACACGGCAGTTTCCAGACGTAAGGGGCAGTGAGTGGCTGTGGCCGCAGGCATGAGTGTCCCCCACGGCGCGCAGCGTGCGTGTCCCTGCGCCCCGTCTCCACGCAGAGGCCCCCTGCCACCCTGCAGAGGGACCCAACACCCTCCGCAGCTGAGCACCCCCCACACTGGTCCCTTCCAGGTGCTTCAAGCTGTCCTGCCGGGCCGTGGGCGTCCACCCGCCCCTGGAGCTCTCCCACTACCAGATCAAGTTCAGGGCCACCGCCTTGTACGACACCTCCGTGGCCACGGTGTACGTCACCAACTCGCACGTGAGCATGAACTCTCTGACCCACTCCGTGCCCCGCATCGGCTCGGAGGACCCCTCCACCGTGGGGCCGACGTCCTTCGAGTTCCTGCTGCCCCCGGACTCACCGATCACCATCGCGCCCTCGGTGGGGACCGTGTCACCAGGGAAGGTGAGCGTGAGCCCCAGGAGCAGGCCAGGGGGGTGGGGGCTCTGGGTGCCCCGCTCTGCCTGCCCTACCACTCACTCATCAGGCCCCAGCAGGGCCGAGGAAGGCTCTGTGGCCAGCAAGCCCGGGGCCAGGGGCCACCCAGAGGTAGCGGGAAGAGGCCACAGTGCCCTCGGCCTGGCTGACCCCAAGAGGCCAGGAGCAGCCGGGCTGCAGACCCGGCAAGCACCCAGTGGGGCCCCGGGGTTCCCTGATTCCCCGACGGAGCAGAAAGCGCCTGGGACAGGAAGGCAGGGCCTTGGGTGACAGTGGTTCTGAGGCCACTGGCAGGACTCAGCAGAAAGGGCACATGAAGGGGGTGCCTGGCTCCCAGCAGGATTTCAGCAAATACAAGTATTTTAAAAGCTTCACATTAAATTGAGCGCATACTGCTCAAGTGCTGCTTCTCGCTGCTGGTGGGTCGTGGCGACTGGGCTGGGGCTGCCGGCTCTTTCGCTCCTCCAGTCACCGGCACCTCTGCCTGCGAGCTCTGCGTGGGGTCTGTCTCGGAGGGACCCTCCCGTGGGGGCTGGCTGCAGACGGGTGAACAGAGGCGCTTTGGAAAGGCTGGCGTGTGCAGGAGACAGGTCGGGGCGCAGGACCCCGCCCCTGAATCCCCAGGGTTGAAAGGGAAGCCTCCTTTCTCGGGGGCAGTGGGCGGGGCTCTGCCCTCAGCCACCACCGGGACCCCACCCGCCAGGCTGGGGGCTGGCCTGTCACCTCCCAGCGGGAGCCAGCGCCGGGCGGGGCAGGCCCACAGGGGCTCCCAGGGCCCATGGCCACGTGCCCCGTCTCCGCTCAGAAGTGCCTGGTCCAGGTGGCCTTCCGGCCCGTGCTGCCTGAGGAGCTGATCCAGCAGGAGGCCCTTCGGATGCTGAGCAAAGAGATAGAGACCAAACCGTCAGTACGTGGGGCCCCGGGCGGGGGGTCTCGGGGGCCCCCGGACCCGGGAGGGGCTTGTGGGAACGTGGCGGTGCCGCGGAGTCCAGCGCAAGGAACAAGCTCTGCTGCCCTGAGGCCCTTGGGGCCTGCGAGCCTGGCCGGGTGAGCGACTCCGCCAGTGACTGCGGGCGTCAAGCTGTGTCCGAGAGATCTAGAACTTTTCTTGCCAAGCCCCCGCCCTGCTGAAAAGAGGTCCTGAAAGCAGCACCGGCACAGGGATGGGGGGGTCTTTGGAGGGGGGGCGTCCAGCCGCCTGCGTCGGGTACCAGGCGACCAAGGCCGGCAGCAGGTGAGCGCAAGGCCACTTCCCACAGCCCCCCGGGCCGGCACTCGCAGTGGCCACACGAATGTGCGCCTGCAACAGGGAGCGTCCTGCCCGGGCGCAGACCCCGTGGTGGCCAGCCCCGAGAGGCGCCACGGCCCCACCGCATGCTGGCGGTTCCTCTCGAGCACCCGTGGCTGTTCCGGCTCTTACGGCGCGCCCGCCCGCGGGAAAGCTCGCCTTCCGCCCGCTGGCTGGCCGGGCGGCGGGGTGCGGGGAAAAGGCGGCAGGGGTGAGGACCTGGTCCTGGTGGGCTCTTCACCCTTCTTTGTGCCTCAGTTTCCCCCTCGGTGAAGGCAGGCGCTGGAGTCGCTGAGCAGCCCCTGGGGGTTCTGTGCATGGGGCCTCAGGTGCCCTCTGGACACCCCTTTGTCTCGTTGGTTAGCCCCTTCTGCACCTGCCTCCAGTGCTTAGGAGCCAGTGGGTCTTGGGGTGTCCCTTCAACCCGAACCGGGGGCTCCCCAGGGTCCCGCACTCACAGTCGGCACAGGTCTGCTTGGCAGGGCCCGCGGAGGCCGCAGGAGGCAGCCCTGGTGCGGCTGGGCAGCCCCACAGCCGAGCCGCCCTCACGGTTGGGAAAGGACGTGGCCGCCCAGAGGAAGGACCTGTGCAGACCGTCCTCTTCCACAATGCAGTTGCAGAACCGGGACCGAGCTCTCCAGGTCTCCGCCCACCCAAGTCTGGAGCTGCAGGAGCAAGACCTCAAGGCCAGGTGGGATGGGAGGGGCTGCCCACCCCTACCCACTCCCCACCCCTCCGCTGCCCTCCAGGCCTCTCTGGCAGGACTCCCTCGGCCTGCGCAGTATCCCCCGCCCAGACTGCAGGAGCTGCACTGGCCCACGCAGCTAAGTCCAGGGCTGGCGGCTTCAGACACGGCCGGACCCTGACACTGCCTTCCTGGACACCTGCCCACCCCATTCCCCTGGACCTGGTACCTCCGCCAACAGCCTCGCTCCGCGGCAGGGGAAGGCTGCCCTGACTCCCGCCTTCCCAGGGTGCGAGCGCTGATGGGCGTGGGGTACCTGCCAGCCCTGCGCCCAAACATGCGGGCCCAGAAACACGGCTCTCTAGTTAAGTGCCACAGGCGCCGGTTCCTCCCCACCCATCCCGGGGCTGCCCGGGCACCTGGAGTGCTGAGGTGGCTTCTACAGGGGCCAGACAAGGGTGGGACAGCCAGCTTGTCGAGACAAACCTGGTGTGGCCCCAGCCTGCTGCTCCTTACCTCCCTGGCCTTCCCAGGAGAGGCCGCTCTGTGCCCGGGGTCCTCAGGGCAGATGTGGCCTTGCGGACCCGTCTGTGGAGGGTGGGGGAGGTCTGACCCCGCACTGAAGGGCCCGGGGCAGCACCTCTGGGGTTGGCGCCGCGTGGCCGGGGGCAAGGTGGGGCAGGGTGGGAGTGCACTTTGCCGGCTTCGTCCCAGCTCCGACAGGTACCAGGCTGCCCAGGCCTCCCTGGCTAGAGCTTTCCAGGGGAAGTTCGACAAGTTTGTGGTCCCCTGTGTCGTTGCCAGTGGTGACGTCAAAGACAGGAAGGGATTGGAACCCCTGAGTTTCAGGTGCGCAGCGCTCTGGCCAGGGCGGGGCGTGGTTGCTGCAAACCCAGCGCCCCTCCCCCACCACTGCTCGGACCCAGGGCCTGCAGGGCACGGCCCCCCCCCCCCCCCCCCCCCGCCCTCACCGTTCCGTGTCCCACCCCCAGCCCCCACAACACCCTGTACCTGGAGCTGTGGTGTCCGTCAGTGGCACCATCTATCGTGGTGACATCCGAAAAAGGCAAGACCATCTTTGACTTCGGCGATGTTGCCCTAGGTGAGTCCTGATTGGGCCCAGACACCCAGGCCCCCCACGCACACCCAAGCCACCACCCGGCTCCCACGCCCCGCCCCAGGGCCGTCCCTGGGGACCTGGGGGCTGCGACCCGACTCTCCTGCCCCGTTTCAGGACACAGCAACATAAAGAAGGTCTCCATCCAGAACATCTCCCCGGTGGACCTGGCCGTATCCTTGTCCACGCCCAGCTCGGCCAGCTCGCGGGGTGGGGCGGGAGCGGGGCGGGGCGGGGCAGGGCCGGGCGCGGGGCGAGGCCGGGCGTGGGGCTGGGCGGGGCCGGGCGCGGGGCTCTGGCAGAGCCCAAAGGGGTCGGTGACTCCCCCCTTGACGCTGAACTCAGGTGGGGTTCTCGGTGCTGGACCCCAACGGCCCCTTCATCCTGCTGAAACCCTCCAGCAAGCTGCGCGCGGGCGAGACGCAGGTCCTGGTGCTGTCCTTCTCTCCGCGCAAGAGCATCCTGGTGAGCCCGGCCCGCCCCAGGTGCCCCTGCAGCCCTGAGCTCCCCGGCCGCAGGGCCAAGGGTTGTCCAGGCCCAGAACTGGCCGCGCCTGGGTCCGCCGCGGCCCGGCCCGCGCTCTCGCCGGCCAGTCAGCGGAGGGGAGCGAGCCCCGCGCCGTGTCGGCGCCCAGCATGCCTCTGACAGACGCGTGCCCCTCGCTAAGGGCCGTGGTCTCCCTAGGCTCAGGAGACGCTGGACATCATCACCAAGAGAGGCACGCTCACCCTCACCCTCACGGGCACCGGCGTGGCGTCCATGACCACGTGCTCCATCGAAGACGGCGTCCTCGACATGGGCTACGTGATAGCCAGGGAGTCTGTCTCCTCGGGCTTCACGGTGAAGCCCGCCTCGGGGCCCTCGGGGTGGGGCTTCCACCTGGGGAGGGGTCCGCCAGCCCTTCAGAGCGCCCCACCGGTGGGGGAGCCAGCGGCGGCACCGGAGGCCCCTGCATCCCGCTGCCTCCGCTGCCCTCCTCAGCATGGGGACGCAGGTCCCTGTTTCTGGAAAGGCTGAGACGTCCCCTGCCCTCCCCTCTCAGCCTCCCCGGTGCTCCCGTCCTGCTGCCCCAGGGCCTTTGCACAGAGCTCCCCTCCAGCCGCCCTCCTGCTTTGCCGCCTGAAACTCCTTGAGGGCTCGACTCGGGCGCCCCGGGGCAAGGGCTTGCAGAGCTCCCTGTCAAGGCCACTCTGCCAGGGCTCCCACGCCTGCTCGTGTGGGTGCCTGGCTCCGGGCGCCCCTCCTCTGAGTGTGGCACCCGCCAGGGCTCCAGCAGCCCACGGAAGGACACCTGCCGCCTCGCCGGGTATAGGTTGGCCCTGGAAGCAGAGCTGGAGAGGGGTGCACTGAGGAGGGGTGCGCCCAGGAGGGGGAGCAAGGATGTGGGTTCGGCTAAGCCGGGCCTGAGTGTGACCTCAGAGGAGCTCTGGAGGACAGGTGGCACCACAGGGCTGTCCCCGAGTGCTGGGCAGGGAGCGGGCCGCCGGGCTGGTGAGGGTCCCTTGAGGCTGGGTGGGAGGAAGCGGCACCAGCACTTGGGCAAACCGCACGAGTGCGGGTGTCACTGTGGGAGTCACGGGCCATGGAGCTCAGAGGGAGGGGCCACCTGGGTCCCCAGTCGGTGTGGCCAGTGGCAGGTGACCGCGTCACGGGCAGGGACAACGAGAAGAGGGCAGCTGACCCTGCCCCGAGGCCGGCCGGGCTGGTCCAGTGACCAGCGGCTGCTCTCGCAGCTGCAGAACAACTCCTCGCTGCCCATCAAGTTCTCCATGCAGCTGGAGAGCCTCTGCTGCAGGGGGGAGACCCAGCAGCAGCTGCCGCAGTTCCTGGCCTCCTCCGCCCAGAGGACCCAGGTGGTCGGTGAGCGGGGCTGGGGCTGGGGGCCTCAGGACTGCGGGGCCAGGCGGGGTGGACACGGGCGGGCCAGGGAGGGCCCGCGGTGGGGGAGGCTGGACATGCGGCCGCCCGCAGGCACTCAGAACTTCAATGGCCAGAGCGTGTTCAGCGTGGCGCCCGTGGAGGGCGTCATGGAGCCAGGGAGGACGCAGGACTTCACTGTGACCTTCAGCCCGGACCACGAGAGCCTCTACTTCTCTGACCGGCTCCGCGTGGTGCTCTTCAAAAAGGTGGGCCCCACAAGCCTGGCCCCCGGGCCCAGCCCCCACCCGGAGACGTCCGCCATGTCCAGGAGCCCTGGGCCCCCCCGCGAGGCCCGTTCTGGAGGCCCCAGGCAGCCCTGCACACCGCCGTGTCGGGGTCACCTCGTGGAGAGACCAGAGCCCAGGGTCCCACGGGGTCCCCGACCCCACTCCCAGAGCCAGCCCCAAAGCTGCTGCACTTTTGTCCCAGACGGTCTCCCACCAGATCCTCCTGAAGGGGGCGGCCCGCGAGCACATGATGTTTGTGGAGGGCGGGGACCCCCTGGACGTGCCCGTGGAGTCTCTGGCGGTGGTCTCGGCGTTGGACGCGGAGCACAGAGAGGGTGAGCACCCCCAGGAGGGGCCCATTAAAGGACCTCCCAGCACCCCTAGCCTCGCACCCAGGCCTGGCAGCAGAGGGCAGGCCCCTGAGCCAGCAGGCGGCCACGGCACCCACCCCATTCCCCAGCCTGACCCCGGGCGACTCCCCTCACTCCCCCGGCCACAGCCAGCCCCCAGCCAGGCCCTCCCTCTCCAGACGTGGAGGAGCTGAGACACATCCTCGTGACCCTGGAGTACGTCCAGTTTGACACAGACGTGACAGCCCCACTGGCCACCCGGGAGCTGCAGGTGGGCTGCATCCGGACCACCCAGCTGTCTCCAAAGAAGGTGACCACGGCACTGCCCCTGGTAGCACCTCGACAGCCCCCTCAGCCTCCCCTGCCTTGGCAGCCCCAGCCCCGTCCGGGCCTTGCCCCTCTTGGGGTTTGTCTGCGGCGTCCTGCAGCAGCTGTGGGTGGGCGGCCTGCCGGTCGGAGAAGAGAAGGCGGGCGGAACTGGGTACCCTCGTCCCCCGGCCCCCTGCCCTGGGGGCCGCACCTGGCCGCCAGCTGCAGCAGCCCTGTGCCCACAGACGGTTGAGTTCAGCATGGACAGCATCTCGTCCCTGCACCACAAGGGCTTCTCCATAGAGCCCTCCAGGGGCTCCGTGGAGCGTGGCCAAACCAAAACCATCAGCATCTCCTGGGTGCCGCCTGCCGACTTCGATGTAGGTGCCCGAGGGCTCCAGCCCGGGGGACCCGGGAATGCCAAAGGCTGGGGTGGGGCTGACACTCCTGCCCCACCCAGGGAAGGATGGTTGTGGGGGTCCTGTGGGGTGAAGTGGGCAGTGCAGCAGGGAAGACAACAGCCGCCAGGATGCCCTGTGCTGAGGCTTCTCTCTTTCCGCTCTCCAGCCAGACCACCCACTCACGGTGTCAGCCCTGCTGCAGCTCAGAGGGGACATCAAGGAGACCTACAAGATCATCTTTGTAGCCCAGGTGGTGACCGGCCGCTGAGGCCACAAGGGCCTCTCCACAGAGCACCCCCAGCCCCTCCAGCCCCCCTCAAAGCCCTCCCCCAGGCTGTGGCCAGGCCAAGCCACCAGGGCCCTGGGACCTGGGCATCCCCTGCCCAGCATGTCCAAATGGGCAGCCCTCTGCATGGCCCATGACTAGCTCCTGCTGCCCTGGACCCAGAGGGCCCAGGGTCCAAGAGCACCCCTCCCCGGACCTCACACTCGCTGGCACAAGGTCAGTCCAGTCCACGGCCTGCCCCCAGCCCCACAAGCCTGTCAATAAACCGTGTGAGCCAACACGTGGCCTGCAGTGTGGGTGGCGGCGAGTTCTCCGCTGGAACGAGCACAGAATGAAGAGTGGGCAGAGCCCTGGGGAGCAGCCCTCCCGCCATGTGCGTGCACATGCACACACACACATCAGTCCATCAAACAACAAACTGCCTGGCAGGGCCTCCTGGAGGGTGGGAATCTTGCTGGACATCTGTGGGGGCCACCCGGCCCAAACCCCAGGAGAGACCCCGACCCCGGAGCACTAGGGAGAAGCGAGGAGGGGCTAGGGACTCCAAAGCCCAACAGGCCCCTTATACCTCCAGGCTCCTCCCAGTTCCAGGACCTCTGACGACCCCAAGCAAGGAATGAGGGAAGGTCAGCGTCCCAGCTCACTGACATGCTGCCCTCAGCCCAGCCAGGGTCCAGGCGGAGGCCCAGCTCCTGGGACTGGTTTCCCCTTGCCCGAGGGGAGGCTGGGCTGGGCTTTCTGGGCCCCGACCCATCCTTTAAGGGAGAAGACAGCCCCCAGCCCCCATCCACCACCGGCCACCCGCCAGCTCCCGTCCTCTGGAGTGTGTCTGTTGGACACGTCCCCACAGAGGCCACCCAGCCTGGCCCTCCCGTCACTAGGCCGCCCTCCCTGGCCTGGCGGGGTGGAGGGTGGTGCCTCTGGGTGCTCTCCTGGGCACAGGCCTCAGGGACTCCCATGTGGAATGCCCACCCCCACCCCCACCCCTCAGTGCCTGTCCTGCCTGGAACCTGCCGCACTTGGAGCCAGTGACACTGACCCTGGAGTGGCATTTGACAGGACTTCGGTCCGGTGGGCCTTGGAGGTGGCAGGCCCAAGTCCCTCGCTGTCCCCAGCTTGCTTCCTGCCTGATGGGAGGAGAAGGCAAAGTCACCCGGCCCAGCCAGGCCTGGCCTCAGGACGAGGTGCTCCCTGGAGGGTGCCATCCCCCGGGAAGGCCACTCTTCCACCCCCTGGCCTGGCTGTCCCGCCGCCGGCAGGACCCTGGTACCCAGTGGCCCAGCCCCTGCCAGGTCCTGCGTGAGGGCAGAGCCTGCACCTTCCGAGCTCCAGGGAAGGCCCAGCTGGACTTGCGTCCATCACGGCTTCCCCTCACTCGCGCCGACCCCACAAGCAGCCCAGCCAAGGCAGGAGCAAGGGAGGCCTGGAGCCCCCAGGGGAGGAGCAGGCAAAGGAGACCCTGCTTCAGGGGGTGGGGTCACTCCCCTGCCAGAGGAACACAGCAGCGCCCCACGCCCCTAAGTAAGCTGAGTAAGGGCGTGTCCCCTCCCCCTGCCCTTGCTACACTGATCAACGGAGTCACCTTGTGCTGCTGGTCTAGGGGGACCCTGGCCCGGTGGGAGAAGGGCAAGTGTCTAAAGTCAAGGGTTCTCCCAGAAGAAGGGCCCCGGCCTTCCCTGTCTCCAGGCCTGGGGAGGGCGCTGTGCCCCGGGCTTTCCAAGAGTGTCTGCGCCCAGCGCAGCCGCCGGCGGGGAGGGCCGCGCCCACACGTGCGTCCGGGCAGTGTCGCGGCCTCGGTGCCAGCTTCGTCCCAGCGGCCACGCCCGGCGCAGCCACGGCGCTCGGACCAGCTCCGCGGGGCGCCGAGCCACGCACCCCCGGACCTTGGGCCTGGGCGAGGAGGACCGGGAGGGGCGGGGAACCCGGATTCCTCCGGATTCGCCCCACGGAGCATTCACCCGACCCGGCTAGCAGGGGGCTGGATCGTGGGGGCGTGGCCGGAGGTGTGCGGGCTTGGTGGGCGGGCTTGGTGGTGAAGTCAGTGGGTTTGGGGGACTTGGGCGGGGCTTGGTTTGGGGGCCGGGTCTTGTTGGGTGTGGCCAAGGTTTGTCGAGGCGGCCGAGGTGTGGCGGGGCCTTGGTGGGCGGGGCTGTTGGGGTGAAGTTAGTCGGTGTGGGGGACTTGGGGCGGGGCTTGCTTTGGGGGCGGAGTCTTGTTGGGTGTGACCAGGGCTGGTCGAGGCGGGGCCGGAGGGTGTGGCGGGGCCTCGGTGGGCCGGGCTGTTGGGATGGGGCCGGCGGGTGGGCGGGCTTGCTTTGGCGGGGCTTGGTGGGGCACTGGTGTGGCGAGGGTTGGGGCCGGGCTTGTTGGGGGCCGGGCGGCGGGGCGGGCCCATAAAGCCGCGCGCCCGCCTCGCCGCCTCGCGGCAGGCAGAGCATGGCCCTGGGTCTGCCCGCCGCCCGCGGGCTCCGGCTGCTGCTGCTCCTGCCGCTGCCGCAGGTGGGTCGGGCCGCGCGGTTCGGCTTCGGGGGGGCGGGTCTGCGCTCAGGCCCCGCCCCCGCCTCACCCCTGTTCCCACAGGTGGCTCTGGGCTTTGCAGACGACAGCTGCGACCCCTCGGACCAGTAAGTCGGGGGGAGGGAACAGGGCCAGCCCCGCCCTGTGGGGAGGGCTGCGAGGTCTGCCGCCGGGCCCAGCTGCTCCAGGTGCCGCCGTCCCCGCAGGTGTCCGCCCCAGGCCCGCTGGAGCAGCCTGTGGCACGTGGGGTAAGTGGAGGCCGCGGCCTGGAGCCGCCGGTCCGACGGTTCCTCCCGGAGAGCTATGTCCGCCAGACCCCCGCCCCACCTGGCCACCTCTGCTGCTGCCTCCCCAGGCCGCTGGCGGGAAAGCGCCGGGCCCTGGGGGCCTGGAGCCGGCAGCACTTGCCCCGTAGCCTGCACGCGCTTTCTCGCCCCTCCTGCCTGTCCTGGGGTCAGCATCCGGCACAGGGACTGTGCAGTAGGCCAGGGACAGCGTGTCCTGGGAGTGAACCCAAAGCCACCCCTGGCCAGCCGGGAGAGACAGCCAGGGCAAGTCCAGCGGCTGGAGGCCAGGACAGGCCAGCTGCTCAGGCCAGGCTCTGGCCAGTGAGGTCTCCATGTGGACAGACATTCTCTGTTTCCTTATCCTGTTTGCTGTCCTGTCTTGGGTGGTCGGCCGTGACTGTCGCAGGGTGCAGGTGCCCAGCAGCGAGGGTCACTCCAGCCGTGGGACCTTGCTCCCTGCCCAGGCTGGTCCTGCTCGCTGTCCTTCTGCTGCTCCTGTGTGGGGTCACAGCCAGCTGTGTCCGGTTCTGCTGCCTCCGGAAGCAGGCGCAGGCCCAGCCACACCTGCGGCCGACACAGCAGCCCTGTGACCTGACGGCCATTCCTGTGGACAGCGACAGCCCCGTGCACAGCACTGTGACCTGTGAGTGGCTGGTGGCCTGCCTGCCGGGAAGCGGGGAGGTGGGCGCCAAACCTACCTCCACAAACCCACTCTGGTTCCCTGCAGCCTACAGCTCCGTGCAGTACCCACTGGTCATGCTGCTGCCCCTGCCTTTTGGGGAGCTGGACCCTGACTCCATGGCCCCTCCTGCCTACAGCGTGTATGGCCCTGAGCTTCCGCCCTCCTATGATGAGGCTGTCAAGATGGCCAAACCCACAGAAGAAGAGCTGGTGCCCCCCTAGAAACCCAGCCTGCTCCCTGGGGCTTCAGGCCTAGAGACCACTCCAGGGTCCCGGGAGACAGGCCTCCATGCCCAACACTCCCGCTGCGGCACTGGTGCCCCATGAAGGAGGCCAGGGAACACTCTTGGAGCCATCAGACCAGAGCCGGGAGTATTGGTGCTTGGAGCCACGGGGCCCCCAGCCTGCCCACCACCCTTGGTGGGCGGGGCTTGTTGGGGTGGGGTCAGGAAGCCTTGCTGTCCTGCACGTTGCTGCAGGCCCAGCCTCGATGGTGTCACCCCACTGGCGACCCCCAGGCAGGCTGCTGCTTTCAGCCCCAGCCCCTGGCCCAGCCCCAGCGGGCCCTGAGCCTCGGGAGCTCAAGGGCAGCTGTGACATCTGCATCTTTTTAGAGCGAGAATAAAGTTTGTATTTAAGTGGCCTCTGCCTATGTGGGAAGGGCCCCAGGGCTGCAGGAAGGGTGCCCAGGCAGCCAAGCTTCGGTGCGAGCAGGCAGGGAGAGCAGGTGGTCCTCGGCCTGTGCCCAGTCTGGCCTTCAGCCTGGTGTTTGGAGCCCAGGGCTGGGCAATGGGTGGTGTCAGGTGTCGCAGCAGAAGTGACTGGGGCCCTGTGCCCAGGGTGGCCCAGGAAAACCCCTTCCTTTCTCCAGCCCCACGCCTTTGCCACCTCTCCCCTCCAGGCTGGGGACAGGGAAGCACACGTGAGTCAGGCTGGAGCGTTTATTTGACACGAGAGCCGGGTGGGGTGGGCGGGCGGGCGGCGGCCTTCCCCAGGCAGGCCTTCCGCGGCCCCAGCAGCTGCTCCTACTGGACCAGCTTGAAGGACTCTCCGGTCATCATGGCCACGAACTCTGCAGGCAGAGGGGCGGTCAGCGCCTGCCCGGCTGGCGCCCGCTCCCAGGCCACGCCCACTCACCCTCGTAGTCAATGGTGCCGTCCCGTCCTCGTCGGTCGGCCTCCTTCATCATCTGCGTTCATGAGCACATACCTGCGGGTCGGGCACTGAGCCGCCGGCCACCAGCCTGCCCAGCCCTCTCCCTACTTGAGCGTGTTCCAGTCGATGTAGCCCTTGCCCTCCTTGTGGAAGACACGGAAGGCCGCCCGCAGCTCGCCCTCCTGGTTCTGCGCCTTCTCGTGGTAAATCCCCATCAGGGCCAGGAAGCCGTAGCAGTTGAAGAGCCCTTCGTCTGCAAGGAGCCCGAGTGAGGCCAGGCGGGGTCCCCACCCCGCATGGCCAGCCCAGCCCAGGCCACCTGCGCCACTCACTATCTCTGTCCACGTCCTTGACCATGGAGGCCAGCTCGCTCTTGGTGGGGTTTATGCCCAGCAGGCTCATGAGGTGCTCCAGCTCCCCCGTCTTCACCTCCCCGTTGCCTTCCTCGTCAAACATCTCGAAGACCCCCTTGTACTCCTTGATCTGCTCCGCGGACAGGCGCTCTGTCTGCAGATGACACCGTGCCGGCCACGCCAGGGCCGCCGTGCCCTTCTGTCCAGGGGAGGGTAGGAGGCGCCCCTCCCCACCCACCTGCTTGGCCACCCTTCAGGGCAAGTGGTTAAAAGAGGAGGCCCCGACCCAGAGCAGGCTCCAGGACAAGGGGACTGCTCTCCAGGACAAACAGGGCTCTGCCAGGTAGCTTAAAGGGGCACAGGTGGGCAAGGCGGAGCCCAGCGTGGGGGCACAGGCCAGCCATGCGTGCGGGAAGCAGCCTGCGGAGGGGCCTGGCCCAGGCCAGGGCGAAATCTCCCAGGAATAGGCTTCCAGGCCTGCCCAGAGCCAAGGCTTGCAGGACGGCCTGTCTGGCACCCTGGGGGACAGTGCAGCACCTGGCCACCCTGCCTGCCACCCTGTGGCAGTGAGTCCACGGGCCAGCTTTCAGAGAGGGCTGCTGCGGCATGGCCCCAGACTGACGGCAGTGTCGCCGGCCAAAGGGCTCAGCCCCTTCCTGCCCCGGCTCCCTGAGCTCCCTCCTCAGCCCCCTAGGGAGGCCCTGGCACACCCAGGTGCCAGCCCGAGCATCCCCTTTGCCTGGAGGTCTTGCCCCGGCTTCTCCTGCACTGGAGCTACTCCCAGCTCGTTAGACCCTCCCATCAGCCCACCAGAGGCTCCAGGTGGGCTCCAGCCACCAGGCGCAGGGAGCAGCTTTACCATGTCTGCGGCCGGAGGGAGAGGCAGGTGCTGCAGGGCTGGGGCACAGGCTGCTGGGGGCAGCGGTGGCAGCCGAGTTTTAGCTGGCCCAGCTGCCCAGGGTCCCTGGGGTCCACATTCCAAGAGCCTTTTATGGGTGGGAAATCCTGCCGGCCCTGTTTTGGGACAGGCTGTCAGCCCTTCCCCACAGAGCCCCTTCCTGGCCCTCCTTGGCCTGGACACCCTCCACCCTGCACACAGGCACCGGGGCCTCACACGCAGGTGTCCACCACTCCCTCTTCACCGCGCCACCCGACTCCGCCCTCCTGCTGCTCTATGTGGGGCCCTCGCCCCAGGGTGTCACTAAACACTGTGACACTTTTTGCTGGGGATCCACCCTGGCCAGCTGGTGCCCAGTGACCCGAGCTGGGTGCCCTCCCATCCCCGTGGGCCCAGGCCCAGCGCCAGCACTTCACAAATACCCTCTAAAGACAGGTTCAGTGAACAGTTGCTTTGGGGACCCTTTTGTGGCCCCTTTGCACACAAGGGCTGAGGGTCTACAGTTCAGGCGGGGACCACTGGACGTGGGCTTGGGTGAGGGGGTCAGCGCAGACAGGACCTGGGGGCCGGGCTGCCCGCTGGGAGGCCAGGCATGGTCGGGGACTATTCTGGGGAGTCTCAGGGAAACCTGACCTCCCTTCCACTCGGAATAGCAAGGCCGGCTCCCATGGGAGCCATGTGCCCAGGCTGGTTGGTGACAGGCGCCACAACAGCACGCAGACCCTTTGCGTACACACCTACACACGTGTTCACTCTGCAGACACACACCGACCCCTCCCTGCCTACCCACAGCGCAGGTTCCCAAAGCCGAGGCCCAGGCCTCCTCGCCCCTGCCAGGCAGTGGGCATGAGGTCTGCGGTCGCAGGTCTAGGCCCTCTGGGGCTGAGGGGCTCTTCCGGCCCCTCCAGCTCCTACCCAGCTCCCACAGCCCTGTGCACGGCCCCAGGTCACACCTCAACACACCAGTTCCCACCCCCGCCCCTTGACTGCCTGATGGGTCCAAGCAGGTGAGGCGCCCTGTGTCCCTTGCCAGCCCTCTGCCTGCCACAGGACACTTCCCACTGAGGCCAGGCCAGCTGCTGAGGCTGCAAGCTCTGTGCTGACGGGGCCGGCGTCGTGGGTCAGCGGACCCAGGGCGAGGTCCAGCCTGGGCATCTCCTGGCTGAGCCCAGGGCAGGGGCTGGAGGAGGCGCCGGCTCTGGGTTTGGTGGGGTGGAGTGTGGCCCTGCACCTCCACCCTGGCTGCGCTCTGGCCTTGGCTTCTCCCTGGGCCAGGGCAGGAGACTATTCATGCACTGAACACCTTCCCCAAGGTCACAGGATGGAGGGAGTCAGCACCCAGACCCGCCCACCCTGGGGTCCTGGTCTGGGGTCCTCAGGCGGAGGTGGCCAGGTTGCAGAAATGGAGGCCTGCACCGGCCACCTGGCCCTGAGCAACCCACGCGACATCACTCACCTGCTCGTTGCTCACAGCGGGTGGAGAACAGGCTCTGCCGCCTGCACCCCCAGACCTCTATCTTCTGACATTCCCGGCTGTGGACCTGACGGTTCCGGACTCCTGGTGGCTTCACAGTTGAAGCTCACAGCTGGGATCCCTGGAGCCGCCAGCCCCTGTCACACCAGCCGACCTTAGAATAACTCTCCCTTCTCGCGTGTGAGAGACACGTGTGTGTGCATGTGCAGACACAGGCGCGCACACACACACACACATACACTTGTCTGCGTGTGTTCAGATACACACATCCTCCTGTTTCTCTGGAGAGCCCAGACTCCTGCAGAGGGTCCCCAGAGGGCGGGGACCACAGGAGCAGTGTGTTCCAGGTGCCTGGGCAACCTGTGTGCCAACTCCCTGGGCCATTCTGCCCGCTGCAGGACGTGCCACGCCACGTGCTCTCTGGACGGGTCTGGACAGGGTCACCGGTGCCTGAGGAGCCTGGCTGAACTTGCAGGCTGACAGCACAGGCCCGACTGGGGCAGAGACTCTGTGTGCGGCAAGACCAATGACCCCTTCCTGCATAAGAAGAGACCCACAGACATTGCCACCAACAATGGGGGTCCCCAGAGAGCAGACACCCACCTACACACACATGTGCACGCACACACACGCACACACATGTGCGCAGCTCCAAGGCGGCCTCAGCGCCAGACCCACCTCCCCTGAGTCCCAGCCGTGGGCCCAGGTGGGACTCACAGTCCCCCCTGCCAGATCCCGCTCCCCTTCCTGTCCTGGGGGCTGACCCCTAGTGCACAGCTCCTGCCCCAAACTACATCCGGGTTCAGCTTCTGGGGGGCCTGAGCTGCGCCAAGACGGGTGTTGATGATGGACCCCTCGCCCACCTGAACGAGCACCACTGGGGCAGGACACACGTCCCTGCATGGTCACCTGTTGCAGCTGTCACTGGTGGTGAGTCGGGAGGGCGGGTTCGGGTTAGGGTTAGGGTGGCTGCTGCCAATCAGCTACACACAGGAGGGAGGGGAGCCAGCCAGGTGCGAACGCAGGTGTGGGCCCTGGGGCCGCTCTGCTTTCATGCAGCTTCTCTGCTCTCGATGACATAAGTCAGGCTGGGACATTGGGGGTGTCGTCTCCCACAGTTTGAATCTCATTTGTAGGTTTGCTCCCCTTTCCCCATGAAGAGCTGATACTAGCACCCCCAAAGCTGGAAGACCCCCAAAGCCATATTTGTTCCCCCAGGACCTCCAGCCGCCTGCAGCGTAACCCAGCACCCCTGACGTGCTGCAGCACCTGGTGGGGCAGGACCTGGGCTCCCTCTCAGGCTGGGCATGAGCTCGGCAGGATGTTCTCTGCACACACCTGGGACCACCATGCTGGGGTTGCCCCCAGGGAGTGGCTGAGGATACTGAGCCCCCTGCTCACAGCATCACCTGCTCAGTCCTTCTCCTCCAGCTCCCCAGGGGGCCTGTCTCGGGGTCTGCTCATGGGAGCCCAGCCTGCACAAGGGGTGCAAAGTGAAACCCAAATGTAGACCACCAGACCGCACGCGGCAGGAGGGGCCTGAGATCCAGCACTGTCCGGGAGACGGCTAGGGACAATGATTTAGGCTTAAAATGTCATGTGACACTTTTAAGATAACCATGAAAATAATCGAAACAGGTTGCATTATCTCCACACCAAAAAAGAAAATGTAACAAATCTAAGGAGACAGGCTGGGTGAGGTGGCTCACGCCTGATATCCCAGCACTCTGGGAGGCCGAGGTGGGCAGATGGTTTGAGCTCAAGAGTTGGAGACCAGACTGAGCAAGAGGAAGACCCCATCTCTACTAAAAATAGAAGTAGTTGAGCGTCATGGTGCACCCATAGTCCCAGCTATTCAGGAGGCTGAGGCAGGAAGATCACTTGAGCCCAGAAGTTGGAGGTTGCTGTGAGCTAGGCTGACGCCACGGCACCCTAGCCCGGGTGACAGAGCCAGACCCTGTCTCCAAAGGAAAAAAAAACCCAACAATCACAAAAATAAACAATCAATATTTTTGCCTTTTGTTTAATTAATTATTTATTTATTTTTGAGACAGAGTCTCACTCTGTCACCATAGCTAGAGTGCCGTGGCATCAGCCTACCTCACAGCAACCTCAAACTCCTGGGGTCAAGCGATCCTTCTGCCTCAGCCTCCCGAGTAGCTGGGACCACAGGCACGCGCCACCATTCCTGGCTACCGATTTTTGAAAGGGCAAAGGCCTTAGGCCTTTCTCCAGCGAAGATAAACAGCAGGCACATGAGCACGTGCAGGGATGCTCAACCTCACTGAGCGTTAGGGAAACGAGGGTCAAAACCACAAGGACACCACTTCACACCCCTCAGCATGGCCACTGTCCAGAAGGGAAGAAACTAGGCAGTGAGTGACGGGGAAGACGCAGAGAAACTGGAACCCTCGTGTACCATATAGATGGGATCGTAAAACCGGCCAATCACCTTGTTTCTCTTACTACCTTTTGGGGTTGTGCCGCCAGGAGTTGGGCCCCCGTGGAAACTAGTGTGGTGGTCCCTCGAAAAATTAAACAGATTTACCATATGATCCAGCCATCCCCCTGCTGAGTATAACTCAAAAGAATTGAAATCAGAGTTTCAGATGCTTGTACACGCATCACAGCACTATTCCTAATAGCTAAAAGGTGGAAGCAACCCAGTGTCCCAGCAACAGGCAAATGTGGGATGTTATTCAGCCTCGAAAAGGAACAGAATCCCGACACACGCTACAACACAGAAGAACCTTGAGGACGCCAAGCCCAGTGAAACAAGCCAGGCAGGCACAAAAGGACAGACTCCGAGTGATCACACTCATGTGAGGTTCCTAGAGCAGCCAGATTCCTAGAGACAGAAGGCAGAGTGGTGGTGCCCGGGGCTGGGGGAGGGGCACTAAGTGTTTCACGGGACAGAGTCTCAGTTTGGGAAGATGGAAAGTTCTGGAGATGATGGTGGTGGCTGCATAGCAGCATCAATGCGCTTAATGGCATTGAACTGTGCGCTTACAGATGGCTGAGGTGGTAAATTTTACGTTATGTACATTTAACTGGAACAAAAAATAAATATATGAGTATCTGTTAGTCCATATTAATATAAATATAAGTGGCTGAATTAATAAATCAATAGAAGAGTCAAATCTCCTGTGTAGAAGAATTCCAAATAATTTATGTAGCTATTCCACTCTCAAGGAGGGGAGCCTAACTCTTGGCTTCTCAATTGCGGCTGCACCTGGTGACTTCCTTCCCGAGAGCAGGGTGTGGCAGGGAGAGAGGCCGAGTGGGTGACCTCTGCCAGGAGATGGTGGCCCCACCGGCAGCGAGGAGCTTTGCCCAGCTCAGGCCCTCGCCACGATGTGATGAAACACTGCTGTACCCTGTGGCCTTCCTCCCAAAAACCAGTAAGCCTGGCTAATCATGAGAAACACACCAGAAAATTCCAATAGGATTCTACATACTACAAAATACCTGACCAACACTCCTCAAAATCATTAAAGCCGGCCGGGCGCTGGGCGCCGTGGCTCACGCCTGTTATCCTAGCATTCTGGGAGGCTGAGGCAGGAGGATCACTCAAGGTCAGGAGTTCGAGACCAGCCTGAGCAAGAGCGAGACCCCACCTCTACTATAAATAGAAAGAAACTAATTGGACAACTAAAAATATATAGAACAAATTAGCCGAGCATGGTGGCGCGTGCCTGTAGTCCCAACTACTCAAGGAGGCTGAGGCAGAAGGATCGCCTGAGCCCAGGAGATTGAGGTTGCTGTGAGCTAGGCTGACGCCACGGCACTCACTCTAGCCCAGGCAACAGAGTGAGACTCTGTCTCAAAAATTAATAATAATAATAATTAAAGCCACCGAAAAACAAGTCTGAGAAACGACCCAAGCCAAGAGGGGCCCACGGAGGCTTGACAACTAAGTGTTGTGTGGAGTCTGGTGGGATCCCAGAAATAGAAAGGGCCTTGGGTAAAAACAAAGGAAATTGAATAAAACATGGACTTCGGTTAATGACCACGTGTCAATATTGGTTGATTAATTGTGACAAATGCAGCAGCTAATGTAAGCTGTTGAGGAGGGAAACTGGGTGTGGACTGCGTGGGAACTCTCCATACTCCCATAGCAATTTTTCCATAAATCAAAAACTGTTTTAGGAATAAAATCTATTTTAAAAAATAAATCCAAATATTTCGGCAATCCAGATAATGCCATATAAAACAATCGCCACCTACAAAGCAGATTGTCAGAGTGGATTAACAAACCAAATCCAAGCGCCTAGTGTTCATTAATACAAGATGCGACCTTCAAGAAGGACACAGAAAGGCAGCAAGTGAACAGGCGAACCCAGGGCTGGGGCGCCAGGGGCCTGTCCGGTGACT